TATCCTCACCAATTCTTGGAATTGAGGCCATCTTCACCATTTCTTGGAATTGGGACTATCCCCACCAATTCTTGGAATTTCGACTATTCTCACCAATTCTTAGAATTTGGACTATCCTCACCAATTCTTGGAATTGAGGCCATCTTCACCATTTCTTGGAATTGTGACTATCCCCACCAATTCTTGGAATTTGGACTATCCTCTCCAATTCTTGGAATTGGGACTCTTCCTTTCGGTGCCAATTCCTGGAATACACCAAAACCCTTTTTAACACTTTGACCGCCGCGTCACCCATATCGGGGTGACAGTCAAGTTTCCATTGAAAACATTATTTTTAAATCTTAAGGCAAGAAGTAGTATTTAGTAAATAATTAAAGGAAATATTTAGCAGATAATAGAAGAAATGTTTAGTAGGAAGAAATGATATTTAGTAGGAAGGAAAGAGTTTTCAATTCAAGTAAATCATTTTTAAACTAACAAAATCAAATTCGATATCAAATAACGATATCAAACAACAATAGTAATTTTTTAACTAGTTTGAAGTAGTCATAATTACATTGTTTATAATACAATAGTAGTTATTTGTGATATATTGGGAAACATCATGGGATTTGCAATTTCTTTAAATTCCTAGTCTACATTTAAGGGATGCAACAAATGTGTAAAAACTTCTAATTACAGTAAAGAACAGGCGTATGTTATAAATTTAACGATGAAAGGATGAAAAACAAAAGCGTAAAGAAGAATAAAAAACAAAAACATTAAAAAAAAGCATAAAAACAATTTAATGTCTAAAAAGATTCTTGGCAAAAAACTCACTCGATTTGCATTCGGCGATCATTGTGTTAACACGTTCGAGACGGAGCCGAATGTGTATTTTTTATGGTTTTTATACAAATTATAATTTTTTCCAAGGATATTTGTTATGCTAATAAAAAGTCAAGCATTCCTCAGACTCGATAAAGTGTTCGACACCAGCTAAACGAATATCACAAGTGGGTCCTGTGGGACCGACGCCAACCAAACGAATAATGGTGTGTCGGTCCGAGGGGACCGACAGCCGTCTCGAACGTGTTAACTGACCAGTTTCGAATGACCAAAAAATAATTTGACGTTTGATGGATCCGCAGGGCAGCCCGTTGAGTTACAGCAACAATCCATCGGCACCTCCTAGTCCCACGGGGCATCCAGGCCCGCCGAACTTGACGGAGAACATCGACCAGAACAGCTACTTCCTGAACCAGGCGCAGGCAGCGGCGCTGCAGCAGGACTTCGAGCAGTTCACGATGGTTAGTAAGACGCGTTCAAAATCGGCCGCGGTTTCAACCGGCGACGACCTTCGGTCACGATCGCCTCCATCGGATCATCGAACGTGAAAACGAGCCGATTTTCGATTTTCGAACCGGATTTTCCGAAGCGTCGCTCGAGGGATCCTCGACACGCACGCGCTGGTTTTCACTCGTAAACAAATGACTGACTTCGCATCTTCGTGTTCTGTCGAATCCGATTCACGGTTCGACGTTTGGCGTACTGCTTCCGGTTGTAATTGAAGGACCCGTGACAGACACTCAGATTGCTCGATTTTTGATCGAGCGGTGATCAGAGATTCACGACGCGGCGGGATCAGTAAGTGGGAGAGAATGATTTGTTATCCGGACTCGTCGTCTCATGTACAGGGTGGTTCATTGAAGCGAGGTCACCTAAATATCTTTCCGAATTGTATTCTTCATCAAAATTCACGAAATATCGACGGCGAAAAATATTTTTCGCATCGTCGCAATTCGTAAAAATATTTTAGTGTTCTCGCTTCAATGGATCACCCTGTATACATTATATATGTAACAGAAATATATAATGTATAATAATATACATAATATACATAATAGAAATGTATAATGTATATCTTTTATATATATATATATATATATTACTTATTATATATTATTGTATCTAATACAGGGTGATTCACCTAATTTGCACACCTGAAATAACTTTTAAAATATATAATATACATAATATATTAATATATAATATACATAATATATATTATTGTATCTAATACAGGGTGATTCACTTAACTTGCACACCTGAAATAACTTTTAAAATATGTGTCTAATTGTTTAACCCTCTATTGGTCCTGTGTAACTTTTCAAATCACATACCAATTGATATCGATATTTT